AGAGAAGCCAACGACAACCCTTACACAAATGTTCAAACAAATCCTTCAGATAACGTAGACCATTACCTTCTTCAGTTATACCAAACAATTTTACTCAAAGACGATAAGAAGCTTTTGACAAATCTTATAAGTAAGAACCAAATAATTCTAACAAAGGAGGACCTTGAAAATGTTATCTCACGAATAACAGGGAAACAATGTGTCATTGACTATCTCGACCCTGAAATCGAATGCTGCGGTCAAACTCCACTATTCATGAAAATAGGTAACATCCGCATCATTGAAACACCAGGAACTACAGGAGTGAGTTTAAGTATAAATATTCGAACGAGTATACAAAACTTTCAACAGAATATAAACTTTGTTTGAAATATGTTTTAGTAAATTAAAGCAGTCAGGAGGGCTCTTTGAGCCCATCTTGGCGCTTTGCGCCGTCAGTCAAAAAAATTTCAAGTTAGCAATTTGTAATATCTATCCAAAACTTCTTCAACAGTATCGAACTCATCTTCATAATGCAAACCTAATCTTATTGACTTGGTGCAGTTTTCACTAACACAATATTTTTCTGTTCTCTTGACTGACATAACTAATTCATTTGTTTCATCAAACAGCAACAACCAAAGTTCATGACCTAAAATATAACATTCATACTTTATATTTTTAGCTCTGAGTTCTCTTGTAAGCTGTTGCATTTAATATTTTCTAAAAAGTCAACTTCAACAGTCATTCGCACTGGTGCCTTCAGTTCTACAGGCTCTCCTTGAAAGTCAACAAGTCTGAATTGCATGTCTTTCAAATTATGAGGACTAATGCGAACCCATTTACCTAAATGAGTTGCTATGACAGGAACGTTTGGAATGAACATTGAATTGACTGCATAACAGAAGGATTTATATTCTACTGAACCTTTACTATTAACTCCTGAAATGCTTGTGACATTAGCTATTTTAGACTCAATGTACAAACAATTACCATAACATACGTATGGAACAGATTTCATCTCAATCGTTTTGTCAACACTTTTCAAAGGAAATGTCATATGGTATGCTCCCAGAAGTTGTACTCTATGACTCATTCTTGGTATCTTAAACTCCTTCGCATAACTGAACTTCAAAACTCCTGCAATAAGTTTAACATTCATTAAGTTTTCTTCGTTATCCTTGTTTATTGTAGTATTTATGAGAGCATTTAACACTCCAGCTAATGTTTCCATCTTATATTCTACATTATTGTGAAATCTTATTTCGTGCTTCTTTCCATCTATTTCAATCTCCATGAAATCTGTTTCATCTGTTATAACGAATGAAGCGATAGTATTGAAGTCAACCATTCTGAATGCAAGCGCCTCATTCTGTAGACCTAAGTTTGTTTGTAGCTTTACTGTCCCGTATTCGTTTGGGTCTGTACTTTGCAAATAGAACAACATTTTATTCTTATTAAAATATGAGTATAGCTGCATATGCGTATGAAGCTGACAGAGCTAAACGTTTATATTTTGGTCAATACTCTCTCACACTTACTGACAAATATATTGTTATCACTGATGGAAATACTGAGAAATACATAACATGGAAGGACTATGAAAAGTTTGACCCTATTTTAACTCCATGTACTATGCCGTTTATAAAGGACGGTGAAATTATTGAAAAAGATAATACAACCGTATATAGGTCTGTTTATGAAGCATTAGAATATATGTTGAATCATAACCCAAAAAGATTTGACCCAAGCACTACACCATGTGCAATGCCTTTTATTAAGGACGGTGAAATCGTAAGAGTTCCGGATTCAACGGTTTACACAGCTGTTCAAAACAGTTTACAAAACATTTTAGCGAATATCTTTAATTCAGAAACTACAGAAATAAAATTACCATATATAACAGATGCTAAAGAAATTAAATCAAAAACGACAACATTATTTACGTCACTTAATGATTTAATGACTTATATCATTAATATTCCTGCACCAACTACAGCATTTGATCCAAACTCGACGGTTTGCAGTGTACCTTTCATAAATGACAGTTCATTAATTACTTTAAGGGATTCGACAGTAAATGAATCATTAAAGGCGTCATTAATGAAAATCATTGATTTTAACTCATTCACGAATACATATAATTCATTCATTAATGTTTCATATGCTTCTAAAGAAGGTGAGCCAAAAACTATCGATAAAGCGGTGTATGAAATAAAAGCATCAACGACGAAATTGAATTCGTTAACTTTTGACGGTGATAGTTTCGTTAATGACATAACATCGGGGAAAACAATTTTAACGAAAGAATACTTAAAATCTCATGTTAGTGAGTTCGTTGAAATTGAAAAAGAAGGTGGAATTAAGTTCGATCCACTGAATTTCATTTTCAGCTTAGCGAATGCGGGTGTTAGTTTCGCTGAATGGACAACTATACAGAGTGAAATAAATGCAATATGGACGTTTTTGGGGTCAAAAGCGGGAATGGGTGAGCTTGTAAATGCTGCAAGAACATTAGGTGAAACGGAAATTTTGTAGATGGTTTTAAAAGACTTGTTTCAAATGTTTTAACAAACACAAAGAAATTATTTAGATATACCGTACATAACGGACGGATTTTCGAACAGATAGCAACAAACCCTCCGGTTATGGCTGCGTTGATGATGGTTAGAGATATAAAACCACGTAACGACGGGAACGAAGAACATGAACACCAGGATACTGGTCGGGTTATTCGAGACATTAAAAACGTGTATCCTGAAGTTATTGATTTATTTAGAGGAGTTAATGATTCAATTTCAAAACATTCTATAACCCTCGATGAAGAGAATAAATTAACAGATTATATATTCGTCATTATTGCAGAATTAATGAAGAGAATAAATGAAAAAGGAATTGGTGATATCATTAATGTCAGCGATGTAATGATGAAAAGAAATTTTGACTCATTATTTACAAAACCGAAAACAGAATATAGTCTTTATGACGTAATTACCGAATTAATGAAAAAGATTAATGGTAATAAGAGTTCTGGCGGAAGAGTTGAACTTGAAATAAATGAGATAGAAGCCGAAAAAACAGACAAAAACCACGTTCATTATATAACTTCAGACGAACAGATTATAACGGACTACCATGGATATTTAACACGAAGTGATGAAGCGAAGACAAAAAATGTTAATGAAAGAAGATATAAATACATTCGTGCTAAAGGTTATGACATAAGCTGTACTGTACAGTATGATGTAGCTAAAGCACCAGAAGCATTTGGTTATACCGGTGAAATTTATGCCTCTACTTTCAATGTTAACGGTGTATTAGTTGAACCAAGATTTACATTGAGAGTTAAGGCAAAAATAACGTTTGAAGATGCTATTAAAAGTAAAGCTGACAAAGTTGAACTCGAAGCAATGAACAAAGTTTTGAAATCTCATAAACACAATATCTCCGATATAAATGAACTTCAAGCTACATTAAATAGTAAAGCTGACAAGAACCATACACATGAATCCTTCACTACTGTTAGAGCAGACGATGTAATATTGAACTATACCCTTGGTTCAAGTGCACCTTTAGAGAATCCAAGTACAAGCGTAAAAGATACACTAAACTCCTTAAATAGTAAATGTATGAACATTGAAGGTCATGTCAGAAACTTTGAAACACATGAACTACCAGCAATGTTAGATAAAAAAGCAGATAAAGAACATACACATGAATCCTTCACTACTGTTAGAGCAGACGATGTAATATTGAACTATACCCTTGGTTCAAGTGCACCTTTAGAGAATCCAAGTACAAGCGTAAAAGATACTCTTAACAATTTAGATAACAGTTGCAGGAATATCGAAGGTCATGCCAGAAACTTTGAAGCATATGAACTACCAGCAATGTTAGATAAGAAAGCAGACAAAACAGAGCTTCAAACATTAAAGACTGAAATACTTCAAACATTATATCCTGTTGGTTCTATTTATACGTCAATGAACTCAACAAATCCAGAAACAGTTTTAGGTTTTGGTACGTGGAAGCAGATTGTAGATAAATTCTTATACTGTGCTAAATATTCAAAGCAAACAGGAGGTTCGAAGAAAATTAAAGAAGCAAACCTTCCACCGCACACTCATACAGGAACTACAAACACAACAGGTAGTCATTCACATTCAATAACAAAAAGAGGTTATACAAATCTTGCAGCAGGTTCGGATAGACAGGGAATGCATAGATATGATATTTCAAGTGACCCAGTAGATTCAAGCGCAGGTATTTTCTGTGGAACCGCAGGAAATCATTCACACACTTTCACAACAAATCCAACAGGCTCGGGTGCAGATTATATGCCACCATTTGTGACTATATTCGCATGGTACCGCGTTCAATGAACGCGCTTGAGCCTAGAATAAAATCTTTAACTTTACATAAATGAGCTTGAAAGAAGTATTCGAACAACATCCATGGAGGTCATTTAAGAAGTTCAATGAAGCTGCAAAGAGTTGGGGATTTACTAACAGAGCTGAAGTGAAAAGGTTCTTTGACAAAATGTTGTACATCAAACAAAAATAAACCCTTACGACTACTTTTTACCAATTTACTCCAACGCTCCTGACGCATACCAATTTGACACTCTCATTCAAAGCAGAAAGGAGGACATAAACCATTCCTCATCTTCATTAATGTTAACACTCGTAAAGCATATGCATATCCAATGAGGAATAAAGGAACTCGTGAAGTGTTAAGAGTTTTACAAAAGTTTGTAGCAGAACATAGCCCAAGTACTTTAACATCAGACCAAGACAGTGCATACCTCAGCAATGAAATCACAGATTTTCTCATTAAGCATAACATAACTCACTACACTACTGAAGACATAACCATAACATACTCGGCATCATAAACCGTTCATAAGAACGCTCAGAGATTTAAACAAGAGCGAGACTTTACCGAAGAAACAATGAAACATTTTCTCGAAGTATATAATTCCTCAACACATTCTACAACAGGACATACACCAAATTCAATGACACAACAACAAGAAGAAAAAGTATATACAAAAGAAACGAAGCCAAACACAAAATATCAGAAATTCAACACAATTTACCCTCATTCCTGGTACAAAAGTTCGTGTAGTTCTTGACGACAAGCCGTTGACAAAGAAACGTTTAAGGTTAAGTAGAAACTATTATATCGTAGACTCTACGCAAGGTAATGGATATCTTATAAAAGCTGCTGACGACTCTATTGCGTTTTACCCTCGACATAAATTAGTCGAAAGTAGTAATGGCAAACTTGCTGAAACCATTGACGAAGCAAAGCGAGGAGTGGTTATTGAAATACTTGGCTATAACATAAACGATGACACTTATAAAGTAAGATATGAAGGAGGCGTTGAAGATGTTATACCATCTAAGAACTTGAGAGAGTCAAAGCCAACACATCTGGGACCATTAGAGCGGGAGTACTGGAAAGACAAAAATAAGCCAGAAAGAATAAGAAAATTCTTCTAAACTTTTTCATTAGATGTAAATCAGACATGAATAATGTTTAGGGTAGATGGTTAGATCTAACCTCATTTCTACCCTCACGAATTTTCATGAATTCCTTAAGATAGAAAAATAACGCTAATTTTTTCTAACAAATTTTTTTATTTTGTATGTAAGAACAGAAATGTCAGTCGAAGCAAAAACATTCACGAACAAATCTAATGGCGAAACATTCACAAAAGGCACTTATAACGGTATTGAAGTCTTACGTAGAGACAAGGATGGTTACATTAATGCAACAAAGATGGCAAGAGAAGCGGGAAGGTTAAACCATTTAAACAGATTTCTCAATAGTACTAAAATGCAGGAAATTCTTGAGTTTTGGATGAACGAATACGGTCAAGCCAAAAGTGGCTCGACCTCAAAACAAGCATTTTATGAGTTACTAAGGGCGTTATAAATGAATTCAAAGGTATTTACATACATCCTGACCTCGTTCATTTTGTTGCTGAATGGTGCTCTGTAAAGTATGCATTTTATGTCAAAGATATTATGGACTCCATAGACAAGAAAGTTCATGAGAAATTAGATGAAGAAGAACTTGAAGATACAGTAGAGAATGCAAAACATTTGTTTGAAGAAGAAGTTAGGAAAATGCATGAAAAACAATTAGAACATGAACGTGAGATGTGTTATGGTTATAGAGATTCTCCATACGAACTAGACCAATGGGAACAAGAAGATTTAAAGAGAGAATTTAGAGAATATGAACTCGCTAAGATAGCATTAGAAGCTGCAGAAAAGAAGTTAAATGTTTGGGGTCGTTTTGTACAAAAATATTGTGAGTAAATGAACCATTTATTTTGTCATAAACGACCAAAAATAATGTTTAGGGTAGAAGGTTAGATCTAACCTCATTTCTACCCTCATTTCTACCCTAGCCGCTTTGCGGCTCTGACCTATGGGTCTCATGAATTTTCATGAATTTCCTTAAGATAGAAAAAATAACGCTAATTTTTTTCTAAGAAAAATTTTTATTTTGTATAAAAGATATGATTTCAACAATCGGCACAACAACAATTCAAACAACTTCACCAAACTCGTTAGTCATGAATCCAACATCTATGTTAGTAGAGATGAAAAGCTTCATTCCTTCTTCATATAGTTTGTAACAGAAATACAAAGAATAAAGCAAGAACTTTTAACAAGTAATTTAGACTGTACCGCACAGGATGAAGAAAATGAACAGTATCTTTATGAAATGCAGGACATTATTGACCATTTACCCAAATTGCCTGAAATTCAGCAGCAAAAACTAACTATTCCTGAATTCGATGAAATTGAAGTGAAACCAACTGACTCAGTAGAAATAAAGAAGTTCATACGTAAAGTAAACTATGAGTTTCTAGGATATCATTGCAACCATAAAGTTATGGACAAAGATTGCGACATGGTATATAAGAACATCTCTGACATATATAAATCGGGGAGTTTAAGACATACGACAACTTTGTTTCATTAGTTGCAAAATGTGTATGGCAGATAAGAGATAAAGATAGAGAGGTAAGGTATGGAATGAACAGATAAAACCAACTGCTTCAGATTTAAAGAAAACCATTGACGCCTTAGTTGTTCTAGTTGGTTTTATTTCAATGTATAACGCAAAAACGATGCCGCAATGTTCAAAATGTAAGGCAGCAATGAGGAAATATAACTACTCCGTCAAAGAGATAGAAAGAATGCGAAACGACTATGCAGACTTAAAGAAAGAAGCAGAAAAACCAGGAGAAAATAAAATGGACATGTTAGAATTTCTGAACAAAAACTATCCAACTGCTGACGATTTCCTTCTATCTGACGTCAAGAAGAAGTATAAAGAAACTTTCGGCATTGTTAAAACATTCGATGTACTAAAAGAAGAAATAGAAGCTACAAAACTGTTTAGAGTCTCACGAATTCATAACGTTTACCATGTAAAACGGTTATAAATAATGAGGGTAGAAATGAGGGTAGAAATGAGGTTAGATCTAACCTTCTACCCTAAACATTATTTTTGCTGAAAAATGACCAAATTTCATGAATTTCATTAGTTAGAAAAATAACGCTAATTTTTTTCTAAGAAAATTTTTTATCTTGTATGTAAAGACAGTAATGTCAAACATTGAGTTTGAAACAGTTAGAAAGATAGACAATGACACCAAAGTGGTTAGAATAGGTGATTTAAACGTAAGATACTCAAAGAAATACAACAAATATTCTTTGTCAGACATTATATCTCCATCTGAAAAGAAAACAAACCACTGGGTTAGAAATGCTTCAACTCAGAAAATTTTGACAAGAAATCCTGAGCTTATGATATCGGTAAGATTCTATGGAACTACAGCATATCTCATTGACAAAAGTCTTATACCAATAGTTTTGTTAGTTAGACCCAGTTGTTGGATATAACTTCATAACTTATGGTTCATTCGATACGGAACGTTGCAGTGAAGGCTTACTTTACATCGTTCAGAAATCGAAGGACTTCAATACAAAGAGATATAAGATAGGAAGAACATATAATATAACTCAAAGATATGACTCTACAGTCAATAGAGTCAAGGTTGTGTTTGTTAATGATATGAGAGCTGCTGAAACAGAACTGCTTGAAGTTTTTGAGAAAATGTATGGTGCTCCACGAAATGTAAAGAAACGTTTGAAGTAGATGAGATAGATAAAGCTATAAAATTATTTGACGAAGTTGCTGAAAAATACATGTAAAGCGTTTATTTTTGGTCTTTTGTGAAAGTCAGAAAATAACGCTAATTTTTTTCTAACAAATTTTTTTATTTTGTATGTAAAGACAGTAATGACAACATTAGAGAACACAACAACAGTTATAGTCCATGAAGCCATAAATGAAGAATACGAGTACATACAGTATAACAAACAATTACGTCTCATTCGTTCAGTCAAAGACGATATGTACCAAATGCAAAGTATAATGAATGCTCTTCGTTCTACAAAGCAAGCATATCATTGGTTTGAAAACCAACTGACAAAAGAACTTTTAGAAGAATTTTCTCATATGATTGCTTCCCTCGGAAAACCGAGAGAAGAGATTCCGTATGAAAATCGCAAGAATTTGGCTCCTGGTTTGAAAGGTTATTATGTTCATAGACTTTTAGTAAACGCTGTAGCAATGTGGGCTTCACCTCGTTATGCTTGTTATATTTTCATGATGTTAGATGAACTATATAAAGCAGAACGTGAAGATATGGAAAAGAAACTTCATGCAAAAGATGAAGTCATTGAATCCAAAGACAAAAGCATACAGAAAAGAATACCACGTTCGGTACCAAAAGGAAAGGAAAAGAGTTATAAGTATATGATATATACTGAAGAGTTGGAGAAAGAAGAAGATAAAGATATGGTTATGTTACATTTAGTCAGAAGAAACAACAAGAGCTTTTATGACTTAGCTAAGATATATAAATCTGACAGAAACTGGTTCTATCGTGAAAACTTACCGATTTCAATGACACCGAATGAGCAAATAAAGGAACTTGTCAAAAATACTCTTCCTCAAACACACTATGACGTCAAAGGTTGCACAATACTTACATTCAAAGAAGACTTAACATTACTGAAGGAAAAAATAACAGAATATTTCGATATCTTCAAAGAGGAAGAATGAAGTCACGACAACATTAACGAAGAAGTCACGACAACATTAACGAAGAGAGAATGAGGTGAAAAAGAGGTGAAAAAACGGGTGAGATCTCACCTCTTCACCAAAAATATATTTTTGCTTAAATAGCTTCAGGGTCTATTTCTTCAACCATTTCACTTCCTTCGTCAATGTCAATAGAAGCTTCTTCAACCTTTGGTAAGAATTTCTGTATAACATCTTTGTTCGTTATTGTCTTCAGAGATGAAGGATAATATTTCACATTTGTTTCACCTTTCTTATATTCTTTCTGTTCGGAAAGATTTAAAGCAATACTGAAGAAGTCAATGTTAGAGTTCTTTATAACAGTATAATGAGTATCTTTGACATTCACGAAGAAACTCTTTTGTTTCAAAACTACTGCTAACTCTTGTGAAGTATAACGTTTGCGGTCAATGACGATAGCTAATGGTCTGACATACTGACCAAACTTAGATTCTTTCACAAACTTCTTGTTAAAGATAACATTAACATTTGAAGCATTATTGAACTCATTCTTGATGGCAGTAGCGAGAGCATTGTATGAAAAGAACTTGCAATCTTGCATGTGTTTCATTAAAATAAAAATATTAAATTATTTTGAAAATAACTTAAAAAAATCTAATCTAATTTTTTCAAAAAATATTTTTTATTTCCTACTAAAGATGTATCGGAAGTTGTCTAAGTTAGAACACTCGGAAATAAAACAACTTCTTACAGAAGCTAATATAGATGTTGCAAAACATTACGCAACAAACAAAAAAGCACTCGCTGACTTCATTAAAGACTATAATGGTGCAATAAGTTATGATAGAATTCATGAGTTCATAAAGCCGCAACGCGGCGAGGACGAAGTCCATGCAAGAGCATTTCCTTTAAATGACGTTGCTATTGACTTATATCATAGACGTTCAGTACCTCATGAAGTAAGAAGAGAAATGTTTGACATAACAAATGCAAACGTTGGTGAAACAAGAAGAAGAGACGACACACTGAAACAACAGAGAAGAGAGATGTTTAAGAGCGCTATAGAACAAGTTCGCAAAGCTAACGATGTCATTCGTTCCATTGACGACAAACCAAAAGAAGGTGAGAGATGGTTAAAGAAAGATGAAGAGAATAGGAAGAGAAATGTGAAGTCAGGCAATAGACTCATTGACTTTAACATCGAAGCTTTAGATGAACCAAACAGAGACTACTTACACAAACATTTCGGTAAGGTTTTCATGAGACTCTTAGAGAAGATTAAAATAAACTCACAACAAAGATGGATGGTATGTTATAAACTTGGTGGAAAGTATGAATGTTCTACGTTAAACCTCAATAATATTGGAACATTACTACATCAGCTCTTGAAGGAGAACTTTATATCAGAGATAGAAGCAAATGCTGCAGGTATTGTTGAAATGCACTATGACTTCTTCTTGACAAACATAAAGAATCTTACTGAAATAAAGATGTATGATTTAACTGAATATGAAGGCTTAACGATGTCAGATGTTAAGAAAGGAAAGCCACAGAAGCGACCATATAGAGATGAAAGCACACTGACAGAAAGACAGAAAAGATTATTGAACAGACTTAAACAAACAGGAGATAAACAAGATATAGATGACTTCTGGAATGAAATCCTTGGTGAAAAGAAGTTTTATAAGAAGAGAAGCGGTCAGTTCTGGAAGTATCTTTGCACATTACCTATAAATCTTGAACGCTACCAAATCTTCAATGAACTGAACAAAAGAACTGCAGCACTTATGACAGAAGACAATTGTTTCGTTTATGCTTGCATTCAGGCTGGAGTAAATGAAGAAACTATTGACCACATGAGAGAAGTCATTCGTGTTAGAGACTTTCCTCAAAGTAAAGTACAAGAAATTTCTGACGCAACAGGTATAGCATTTAATGTTACCATTGGTTATTTCGACAACTCCAAAGATAACAGAATAATTCACTACATACCAAAAGAATGTGAAACTGCTCGAACTATTGACTTACTTCTTGTTGAAGACCACTACATGCTAAATGAAAGATTACCAATGACAACATACTTCATCAGAAATTACAGAGAAATCTTGAAGGAGTGTGGTGGAATGAACATTGAGAAACAGATGAAGATTTATACAAAGAGAGAAGATAAATATGTAGTTCGTTATGATAGAACAACACCACTATGGGATGTTATGAAAACATTGTGGGAGTGCAAATATTTCGAACCTATTTCTTATGGAGAACTTTTCACATATACGACTGACTTATATAAACAGAACCTTGCACCATTTAAAGATTTGACATATGCTCCAAAGTATTGTGTACAACTGAAGAAGAAAGCCGAGTCAAAAGAAGTAAATAAAAATAAGTGCAAGTTCATTCCTGAGCACGTTTTCTTTGCTGACTTTGAGTGTAGCACAGACGGCTTTCATAAAGCTTTTAACATCTGTTATGACAGTGAAGATGGTTCAGTGAGTGAAAGCATTTGGGGTCAGAACTGTGCAACAGAATTTTTGGAACGACTTCCTGACAAGAGTTTAATATATTTCCATAACCTCAGTTATGATATAAACTTCATCTTAAGACACATGACAGAAGTGAAAGGAACTCCCATCATTAAAGGTTCACGAACAATGCAAATAACTGGCTTATATAAAGGAAGGGCAATTATTATAAAAGACTCTTACAGTGTTATAAATAAGAAGCTTAAACTATTTCCTGCTATGTTTAACTTACAAACAGGACCGAAAGAAGTATTTCCATATAACTACTACAACAGTACTTTGTTAGCAAATGACAACAGAACTGGTGTCATTTCTGAAGCATGTAAGTTTATCCGGGATGCAGATACATTCATGAAAAACATAGATTCCATCAAAGGTTGCAGAATAGATGAGAACCACTTCGACTTAGAAAAGTATAGCACATTTTATTGCAAACAAGATGTAAGAATTTTAAGAGAAGGTTTTGTTAAGTTCCGCAATGACATATTGAAAGAATTTGATTTAAACGTTTATGACTACGTTAGTATTTGTTCTATTGCTAACAAATTGTTTGAGAACAGAGTGTACTTCCCGAATGGAAATTTATATGACCTCTCAAATAAACCAAGAGAATTTATTTCACGCTGTATTCAAGGTGGAAGATGTATGCTGTCAGATAACATGAAACAAAAGAGCGAAAAGAAACTCATTGCTGACTTCGACGCTGTTTCATTATATCCATCAGCTATAGCAAGACTTTATACTTTAGAAGGTATTCCAAAGGTTATGAAGAAAGAAATGTTAAGCACAGAGTATCTCATGAGACATTTATTCGATGACGACCAAAAGGAACCCATTGGTGAAAAGTTTATATCCGGCTTCTTTGTTCTCATTAAGATAACAGAGATTGGAATACATAGACACTTTCCTTTAATAGTTTGTGACCCTGAACTAAATCCAGAACTTAACGTTCACAGAAGTTCAAACACTTGCTGTTTAATGTATGTTGACCATATAACATTACAAGACCTCATAAAATATCAAGGTGTCAAATGTGAAGTGTTGCAAGGATACTATTACGATGGAAACAGAGATATTAGAATAAGAGATGAAGTAAAGAAGTTGTCTGAGTTAAGGTTAAAGTATAAGAAAGAAGGAAATCCTTTGCAAGAAAATATAAAGCTCATTCTGAACAGTATTTATGGCAAAACTATTCTATCTCCTATTGAGTCAAAAATAACCATAGTAAATGACAAAGATGCTATAAGATATGCCATCAGAAACTACAACCATATAGTGAAGTTCGAAAGTTTGGATGGTTCAGATAAAACTATTTTCAAGTTAACAAAAAGCATTTGCAGACACTTTAACTTCTGTCCACTTGGTGTTAACATTCTGTCTATGTCGAAGAGAATAATGTGTGAAGTATTCTGTACTGCTGAAGATATGGGACTTCAAATATTTTACCAGGACTGTGATAGCATGCATATTTTCAATGAAGACATACCAAAGCTTGCAGCAGAGTTTAAGAAGAGATACGGTAGAGAACTTATTGGTAAAACATTAGGTCAGTTCCATTCTGACTTCGCAGAAATAACACCTGGAAAACAAAGTTTAGCATACAAGTCAATATTTTGTGGAAAGAAGACTTACATAGACTTACTCACTAACGATTTAAATGAAGTTGCATTCCATGCACGTTGCAAAGGTGTCAAACAAGACGTCCTTGCTTTAACAGCAAATGAAATGTTTCCTGAAGCTATACAATGCTATTACAATGAAGATAAGAACATTCACATACCTGTTGGAACATATGACAAAGACTCTGAGTTCAGTTTAATGAAACTTTACAAAGCACTTCATGATGGTCAAGAGATTGGATTTGACTTATGTAAGTCTTCTAGTCCTTGCTTTGCCGAAAAGTTTAACTTCTCAATAACGACTAAAACAAGCTTTATTCGTAAGTTGAAGTTCTGAGGTCATTTATTTTTGTCAGCAATGAGGTCATGAATGAGGTCATTTATTTTTGTCAGCAATGAGGTCATTTATTTTTGTCAGCAATGAGGTCATTTATTTTTGTCAGCAATGAGGTCATTTATTTTTGTCAGCAATGAGGTTATTCGTGATAAAAATAAGCCGCTAGCGTAGATTTTACAATACTGCGATGGTAGAGTTTAAGAGTTGTGCTTCAATGTAGAGACAGTTCTTATGGTCTGGAGGTAGCAAAACAGGTGCTTTATGGTCATGAGTGGAGAACATGTCTATCCAAAACTCACGATTGAAGCCAGTTAATTTATAGTATTTAGGGTTAGGAAGTGGTGAAGTTCTTGTATGACCAATGAACTCATTTTCAACTCCCTTACTTAAGTTTGAATATAATATAGCTTGCTTTCTATCCCAAATACCTGGAAATCTAATTTCGGAAAATCATTTTTCCTCGGAAGCATTGCATCATAATTGAAAACATTCTTGAAATCATCACTTGGTTCAGAGATTTGAAATCTTATACGTAATGGATTTTTTTCTTTTTAGCTACTTCATTGAATGGTGAGAATACAATGAATTGACAGTCATGTGTTCCATCTTCATTTGCTACAAACTCGTAATGAAAAGCTATTAATCTTTCTACAATTCCTTCTTCTTTCAGTTGTGCAAGAAAATCACGTAAAGGCTGTAAAGTTTGTACTTCAATGTTAAACTTCTTTTGAAAATTTTCGTAAAATGTAATTATACAGTCTTCTAACGTTGTATCGTCTTTAAAGTATTTGTATATGTGAATGTTTTGGGCGCTTAAAGACTGTTCGTCATTTTCTATCTCGACTTGAAGTATAAAGTCAACCTTTCTGAAAGCATGTGTTATATACATAGATGTTATGCCAATGTACTTCTCTTCATTTATGTTCACAATCCAGTCTGTTGGAAACTTAAACGTTACTCTGTTCCCCTTTATTTTGACGTCAGGGTTTTCACTACTGAACGCAACAGATAAAGGTATTTGTCTATACATTTAATTCGGATAAAAATAAACCATTTACTCTTTCTTTGCTTCAGCTTCTTTAGCTTTTGCTTCAGCTTCTTCTCTAGCTTTCTTCGCCAGCAAACGTGGGTTCTTTTGTCTTCCAGCAGCTAATGCAGCAAGTTGTTTTTCACTAAGTTTTCTCTTTGGTCTCTCTGGCTTTTGTTCTTGTTTTTGTTCCTTCAGTTCGGATAAAATTTGCTCACGAATTTCTTTCTTCAATGCTTCAACATCTATGACCTCTTGGGTCTTGTCCGTAGGGCTTGTCTGAGTCATTTGACTGCGGATAAAAATCTAACTTAAAACTTTAACCGATGTAAAATGAGCTTGTCAAAATCAGAACGAGAGTCTATTATATTAAATGACGCAAGAGGAATACAACATCCTTTCTATTACGTAAGTCAGAGTAAAGATGGTAAAATATACGTAAGAAAAAGAAAGGTTCCATTAGCGAATGCAGAAAGCGACAACATTAAGGCGCATGGCAAGGGCGAAGCCCATATAAAACCTTCTGTTCAAACTGAGCCACCAATAGAACCAGAAGAAAAGAAGCCAGATGTACTTTCAATAACAAACCAAGAGCTTATTGCAAAGTTCGTGAATTTCATTGAAAAACAAACCGAGTCAAAGAACCCTGACCCGCCAGTGAAAGAAGTTGAGACAAAAGAGAATGTACAGTTCATTGAAAATGTCAAGAAACAACTTCCACCACGAATGCCAAGAAGAAGAGTGAGAATAATGAAGTAAATAGATATTTTTATCTGAAGTAAATACATGCAGAACGAACAGCTAAACGAATTTACTCCAGCAGAGCATATTCATCAGATTCGCTCATATTTCGATATCATAGACAATGCAGTTCAAATTGGTGACACTAATAGAAAATATTCTGACGCAAAGATTCCATCACAACCTGGAACTGCTAAAGATAACACATGGGTAACATTCAATCTCTCACCTCCTGGTGAAAATATGTTGGACCTTTACAATACATTCATTACGTATAAAATGGAAGGTCAATTTATTGTAGATAAAGAAATTGGTTCAGGTTCCAATAAAACAAACCCACCAGGATTTTGGATTGGTTTCGATAACGCTTTCTATGCAGTTGCTGGATATCAAATCCTTGCAAATGGTCGTATCGTATATTCTCAAGACAACGCAAGAGAAGAAGCATATATAACTTCAAACTCACAAACTACCGAACAAATAAAGAAAGTAGATGTTTTCTCAAAGACTCGACATGAAGATGTATGGAGTCATTCGGGAACATGCAGAACAGGACAAATTGTTAGTGGTCCAATTACAGCAGGAAAATCATTTGATTTTAAGCTTCGTTTAAGAATTCCTGTTAGAAAGTTTTTACCATTAGAAGCTATAAGATTTATTCCTGCATTTGCTGGTAACATTCAGCTTAAAGTAAAGTTCAGTAGCGACGCCTTACAATGCACGTCTATATCTGTAAATGATATCGTTGCTTTCAATCCAACTCTTAAAGTTGCATTTGCTTCAGATTCAAATCCACCGACAAATAAATTTGTTCCATGGAATGAACCATTCACTATGATAACGAAGGCAGTAGAAGCTAGTGGAACAGTTACTATTACAACTGTAACCCAGCAACTATTTCGAACAAAGATGGATTTTAATGAATGTTTTATTCATCCAAAGTCATTCTCTTTAGACCCTAACATTTATACAGAACTTGTAGAACATTATACAAACGAGGCTTTATTTTTCCTGTTAAAGTTATGGATTGGATTCCTATGGACGGTTCATTCTCAAAGAATACAGATAGTTCAAGTGCAACATTTACAGCAGCTTATACGCCTATTAATGTTAAAAGTATTTGGGCACTATTTAGAAAGAAAGACAACTATTATGTTAATTTTGAGAACCCTAAGTTTAAATATCTTCAGCTTTCCATGGGAGCTTATGGAAATATGCCTGCAGAACCTGAAAAATCATATGGACCTGTATTTTATGAAATGGTTGCGAACGCCTGCAATACAAACAATGATATGATAGGATTTAATGAAGATGTTATGAGGTCATTGGTGGATGATGGTAGTGTGGAACATAAATGGGATAGCTATGACAACACACATTTCTTATGTGGTTTTCCAACAGAAGTGGACTTTTGCTTCCAGCAAGGGCAAACATCTACTGCTCCAATAACATACAAATTGTCTGTTAAAGGACCTATTGAACTAGCAACTGAAAATGTACCAAAGCCACTTATTGGATTTATGAGGGATTGTTGCTTTGCCATTCAGGTGCGTGCTAATGGCATCCCATAATAAGATTAGATGACTATAACTTAGCTACGGACGACAGTGAGGAATAAAGGATGAACGTTTATTTTAAAGCTTATAAATGAGTTCTTCATCAAGCTCTCGTGAACCTTCACCATCTATGAAACAAACTTTACCAAACGATTATGGAGAGACCTATTGAATATTTCTTACGAGCTGCACAATGGCAAAGAGCAGTCTCACCAAGGTTAGGTGTTCCACCAGCTCCTGTCAAAAATAGCATTTGGTCAAGTCCTTATATAAGATATGGTCTCCCACTAGGTTTGCTAGCTACAGCAGTAGCAGTTATGATGTTGAAAAGAAATAAAGCAAATGTTGTAAATAATACTGAAGTAGCTGAAGTTAAACAAACTCCAACACCTTCGCCAAAACCAACGCCTTCACAAGCAAAACCTTCAATGACTCCTGAACCTATGGAAGTACAAACTCCTGTTCAAAAGTCAACTCCTAAACCGACTCCAACATTTAAACCAGAACCTACTCCTCAAATAAATCGTAAAACTCCTGCGTTTCCTTACTGAAAAAATAACGTTATTTTTTATTTAATATTAAAATTTTTATTTGATTGAAATGACAAATAAAGTCACTGAAGCAATGAAACAAAAGTTTTTGGTAGAATACATTAAATCAGGAACTATTCCAGAAGGTTTTTACATTCATACTATGAAGGATGGTAGAGTTCAGTTTAGAAAGATAAAGCAACCATTAGATAGAGAAGGTATATTAAGGAAGATTAAACTTCATGAGGACAACATTGCTGAACTTAGGAAGAAGCTAGAAGAGTTGGATAAAGCAGACGACAGTGAGGAATAAAATATTTCATTAGTTTTATTTTTACTGAAAATTTTTATTTGGATGTAATGACGAAAACTATTGAGATAACAAACTACAACGGTCATGAGTTCAAGAATTTTTCTTCGTTCCTCATGAAAATACATTCTATCAGATACGAGGGAGAAAGGGTAAAGTTAGTTTGAGCGTTTATGATAGCAAACATAATGGAAGATATATACAAGCAGTAGATACAAACGGTAAGCGTGTTTCATTACATTTGTCAAAACTTATAAACATTAATTATGACAGCGACTTTGACTCAGACGATTGGAGCGACAGTAGTGATACTGAAGAATATGAACTATTATGTGAAGCACAGCAATGGAAAGAGTTGCAATACTTTTGTAAATGAGAACGTTAGTGTGAACGTTAGTGAGAACGTTAGTGAGAACGTTTATTTTTTCATGCACGTGCATTGTGTCGCGGGGAGTTGCCATGGGCAATGACCTGCGCACAATATATAACGTACAGAGAGGTGAGATGAGGTGGTTTATGTGATAAATACTTTACGTGGCAGAAATAGTTTAAGGTTATTAGAAATATTGCATATGCGATGTAAAATATACGTTAGTGGTTTTGTAAAGTGTCAGATTGACATATTTTCGGTAAGATGGCGCGCAGTGCCACCATACTGAAGATATGTATACTAACTTCAACATGCCATAGAAGATCACCTATCTGATTAGATTTCTCCAAATTTACAACCTTTTCATCCAGATTGATAATCTCCAGCGATAAATGACTCCATATTAAGAGATTATGCGTTTATTCCATTAGACACCTTTATATAACTATCCAGTCTCGACAACTCGTCGAATCAATAAAATCATCAAATCACTTTCCTGAGATTAATACAAAATATAAAGATATTTAGGTTCCTTGACCAATAACTAGCTTCGTTTGCGCGCGATGTAAATACGCTCATTTTTCAAAAGAAAGTGACGGACGAAAAAACAATGCGAAGTTATTCAATAATTAAAACTACAATTATGATTGCCATAATGAGGGACTTTATTATAGCCTATTTTTCATGAAAACAGATCGTTTTCATCGACTTCTCAAATGGCAATTAGACTTTTTTTCGTTTTAAGATGGCAAACCCAAATTTTAGCTAAAAGTGACAGGAAAAAAACGTTTAGTATTAAAAAAAAGACCGATGAGAGCTTCGTTCGAAATATAGAGGGAACTGAGAATGCGCAACCATTCTCAGGGAATATTGGATGCTATTCCCGTTCCCTCTGTATGGAAAATTGAGGTTTTCAAAGGGAGTTAAAATAATATCAAATTTATACTAATTTACTTCAAAATACAAAAGTATTTGACAGCTAAAATTAGTTATTTTAGCAAGCCTATCAATACCCTTTTACGATTATTGTTACTTTTTCGAAATAAAAGTAAAAACAAATTTATACTAATTTACTTCAAAATACAAAAGTATTTGACAGCTAAAATTAGTTACTTTAGCAAGCCTATCAATACCCTTTTACGATTATTGCTACTTTTTCGAAATAAAATAAATTTATTATCAAAAACCTTTTTTTTTCTTAGTAAAAATAAAAATGTTATTTTATATCAAGTTTTTATTCATAAATTTTTATAATGTTGTATAAATTTGAAGGTGGAAATCTGTAATAATTTTATCTTGAAAAGACTTGGCATTCTCAACAATGAATTGAGGGGTATTGCATCCAAATTCTGTAATTTGCGTGAGAATACTAAGCTTGATTTCCATTGGGAAGTTTGAACGCGGAAGTTTTGGAATCACATTCTGATTGCAGAAAATTGTTCCATTCTGGGAGACATGCAGAGGCAATGTCTCCCAGAATGAGACACTGCGACCGAAAAGAGTGCACAATACACTCTTGTCGGTCAAAGTTCCGCATTCAAGTTATGAATGCGGAACATTGTTCCATTCTGGGAGACATGCAGAGGCAATGTCTCCCAGAATGAGACCGTCATACCAACACCAATTTATTTTATTCTTTAAATTGTCATACCATTCAATTTTTTTTCAATCTTAATCCACTTTTTCGATTCTTCTTTAATTCATTTTATCTTTCTCATAGAATATCGATTCCATTTACAGACACAAAATCACTAATCAGGCTTTTTCAATACTCAAAATATCATATAAATCTTTGTTATTTTTTCTCTCAACGCTTATTTTATTAAATTTACATATTTTATCTCACATATCCCTCTTCACATATATTGAATCTCAACACTCATCTATTAAAACAATATATTTTCGCTTAATCTCATATTATTCATTAACAATCTTTCCTATTCTTATTTCTAGTTAACCTACCAATATATATATAGAATATATGCCCAATTACATATTCAGATACATTAAGCTCAAGAAATTCTTCTAATATTATTCTCCTATTCATTATAAAATCATATTTATTCTCACATCACAATTCTATCAGTTCTCCAATATCATATCATATTGGTAACATCACATATATCTCTTATAATATCACTTAAATATGTATTTTTTTATTAATTATATTTAATTAGTTCTACATTCTATTATTATAGAGGCTTGACAAACTCATCAATAGTTAAAATCAAAATCTATGCAGAACTTTGAATCTAATGAAAATTACATTTCGATATCTTTTTGCAAGCTTAATTTTTTGTATTATCTTAAAATACATTTAGTAATGTTATGTACGTATTGAATTCAAATTATAACGCAGTAATATGCAACTCATCTTGAGATTCACATTTCATTTTCACAATTATTGCATATATACATCAATAACATATTGTACTCATATAGCCACACGACTCTAAACTCAATGACATCAAATAATGCTTCTAATATTTAAAATAATTTTTGCATTTTTGATTCTCAGCTTAACTTCTATAAATGTCACCAAAACATTTCATTCCTACCAAGAAATATTATATTAGTAAATAAGCGTTTATTACCATTGTTACTCACATCATATTAATTCATTTTTGTAATTTTTTAAATAAATGACTGGAATCATAAACCCTATGTACCCATATCAACATGTTAAAATTTCAAAGTCTGAAACTTAGTATACATTGAGTTTCATGAAATCAGATAATCTCGTAGATTTCTTAAATATTATATATTGCTGGCCAATAATGATGCAGCATGATTCTCCATCATATCAGCATTCTAAACATATCTTTATTTTGTCAATTGGCATAAATTAAGAGTGCTTTTCAGGCGATAAATGGTATTTTAGAACCTGGGTAGGGGGTCATGAAAAAGTTGCAAAAGTCAAAAATTGAGGGTATCTAAAAATTCAAATTTTTAAGTTTTTGTTTTGAACACATTACCCAAATATACTCAATATAAGTATACTATTGGTATTAATATTGGCTCCTAAATATCAAGGTTTACACCTTTTTGCCCGGTTTACACCTTTTTCTCCTGACTATATATATATACATAGACAACATAACATGATACAATGATATAGTATAAATGTGAACTTTCAATTTGATTACGAAATTTTAAATAATCATAAATATCTTTATTTTTCATATTAAATTATTTATCCATGAGATATCTGATTTAATTTTGTTAATAATTTCTTATCAACACAATACCAAAATTTCAAATTCTTGTTTCAATTGCTCGAAATATGCTTGCATGGAAATTTGCATTAGAAGTGATAGATATTCTAGAAAATTTTATGATCAGTTCTTTTCATGATGATTTTTTAAATTGACAAAGCTTTGATAGATTCTCAAAAAATTTAATTGACAATTTTACTCTCTGTAGTTAATCAAATAATAGTTTCGATAAATTATGTTATCCTTATGAAGAATTTCATACACCGTAATTCATAAAGGAAATTTAGTAAATAGTCCGATATTAATAGCAATATAAATTAACAATAAAAAATATTGGAACCTTTTATAATTCTTTCTGAATTTTTCGATTTTTTGATAACTTTACATCTTGCCAATTATTGATTTCAAATAAATCTTCATTCTTTGATGTCCACTTACTTTCCACCTGCCGGATCTGATTACACATACACATCAAGGTTAACTTACGCTTCTGGTACGTATGAAATCAACAATAGCGATTTTTTAGGGATTAGCTCCTCAACCAATGGGGGAGCTATATCTCGTTCTTCATCGGCAAGAATTTCAATATTTATGTGTTATTTTGCTGGATGCACATCATCTAGAAATGGTGGTGCAATTTATTCATCTCTTGGATCAAATGGCCAAATCTCTGTTTCAAAAACAATCGGAACATCATGCGAAACAACATCTTCGACGAATTACTACGGCCAATTTATCTATTCCACTTTTTCATCTTCATCTTCAATTCAGTCATTCTCACAGTGCAGTATCTCTAAATGCTCCCAATCGGCAAGTTCGTCAAATAGAGCGCCAATGTACTTGAATCAAGGCACATTGACTTTAAATTCGATTAACCTTTCCGAAAATGCTGTTGCATATACCCATTCATTTTACTTATCGGGTACTGCAAGCTCTATTTCTTACGTTTTTGTAGCAGATGGATCAATAAGCTCTGCTACAGAAATGGAATTTAATAATTTCGACGGTACATTTTACGATACGATGTTCATTAATATAACTTCTGGTGGAAATAAGAAAATATCCCAGAAATTCTTCCAAACAACATCATCGACAGTCACTTTCAACAGAATTTCTTTTATCAACTGCAACCTTAATTCAGAAGTACTAGTTTCAAGCCAGAGATTCGACAGCAGTCAAATAACTTTCATAGATTACTATGCTCCTGGCATTAGAACTAATTCAATTTCAGTATCAAATTCTGTTTCACAAACTGAGTACATTACTGATTACTACGATGAAGAAGATCTCGGTAACGATAGAAAAATTCCTGTTCCAGATGAAACTCCTCATTATTCTCCGATTCAAACTCAATTTGCAACTTTCCAGGAGACTCCAAATGAAACACCATATATAACACCACTAAACACACCATGTGCAACATTCCAAGAGACTCAGTTAATGACTCTACGAGAAACTCCTTTTAATACTCCATTCAACACTTTTCAAGAAACAAATGAACCAATAATATCATCGCAAACACAAATTGAAACAACTCAGGAGACACAAACAGCTTTAGTTTCAACAGCAACTCAAATTTCTTCAAAATCAGTAGTTACTAGCTCAATTATCTCTAATTCTCCAACAAATACACAAAATATTAATGCGTATAACTCTAGTGTAACTCAGAATGATCAATCGAATGGTTCTGTCAATTCAATTTCGAAAGGTACTCTGATTGGAATATTCTCTAGTTGCGCAGGTGCATTAATTATAATAGCTATACTTGTTGCCTTTATTATTTTACGTAAAAAGAAGAATTCCTACACTGAATATAACAATTCTGATTTTGATTCGATAGATAATGATGACGAAAGCTTGAATTCGGTTGATATTCCTATTGCACCTGCTTACAACTATGATATTGCTACCACAACAGAAACATTCCAAACCAAAACAACAGATATTGATTGGAATACAAGAAATTCTGATGCAGACGATGATAATGATCTATTTAAGCCAGACTTCATGCTTAATGAAATGACCAAAGACCCATCTGATGATGACTTCTAAATTTTTTATATGTTCATTACTTGTTTTGTGTTAATAAAATTGCTTGCTATTCAATTTTACTTTATTTCACATCTCCAACTTGGCTCCTTTTTGTTAGAAGAGTTCGATATGAATTCAAATTGCTATTTTTTCACAACTGAGAGAATTTGTAGATTAATTACACATATAAGATTATATTATCGGTAAAATAAACATGTTCGGAGCAAATTTTTTCTTATTCAGGAATAATTCTCTCAATTTGAAACTATCACACGTGAATTATCGATCAAGAATGTGATTATCTATTGATTTGAGTATTTATTTTCGTGAGAAATAGTGTCAGAATTATTTCAAGTCACTTTTGGTGCCACTTTTGTTTCAAATCCAATATAAATCATGACTCAGCCATTATCATATAAAGTAGTTATTGTAGGAAATACGCAAGTAGGAAAGACATGTATTGTTGATAAACTAGTGACTGGAGCTATATCTGACGATGTAACTCCTACAATTGGCGCAAGCTTTTTAACTTTTACCATTAAAAAGCCAAAAGGTCCAATAAAGCTACATATTTGGGATACCGCAGGACAAGAAAAGTTTATGTCCATTACTTCAACTTACTATAGAAACGCTCATTTTGCTTTATTAGTTTTTGATCTTTCTGATCGTAATTCATTCAATAATTTAGGAAGATGGCTCGGAGATCTTAAAGGAAATGCTCCTCCAGAAGTCAAAATTATTCTTGTTGGCAATAAAAAGGATTTAGAAAATGAAAGAGCGATAACAAAAGAAGAAGCTGAAACATTTGTATCAGAAAACAACTTACTATACTACATGGAAGTTTCTGCATTGACAGGAGACAGAATTAGAGAATTATTCCAAGGTCTAGTGAATATCGACACCACAGATGCATTGGATGTGATCCAACATAAGAGGAGTGAAGAAGGTAGTTCATGCTGTTAGTTTTATAAAAATACATAAGAATTTTTAATTTTTATCGTACATGATTTGAAGAAATACAAAATAAAATCCTATCATTCGTATTAACTAATAGTTTTATTTTTAAATTTATCATATTTATTAGAATGCAATGAAGAGAGAGGGTCAAAGTTGCTATTTGTCACTTTTCCACAAGAATATAATGGGGAAAAAGTTATCATATAGTTGATCTCATTCAGTGAGGTGAGAGATGCATGTAGTGTAATGTGATAAACAGTGGGATTGCTGCTCTAAGTCCTAGGTTCGAGACACATTGGCTTCATTTTTCTCTTTTTTATTGACGTAAACTATTCAATTTTTGTGTTCTCCATTCAAATTTCAGAATTTTTTTTGCAGATTTCACGCTACATTCGAAGTTACCTTTTGTAACAACCACCACTGCCTACGAAAGACGAAAGTGTGTCACGATTTCACCCGGAAATCCGACGGTTGTTTAAGAGTATGCACTTTTGTCACCTACTCATGCAATGAATTGTTATAAATTTTATTAAAATTTTCATTGTTACTATACTTAGGATGATTATATCTTGTATATAAAGCTTTCGTATAGTAGTTTTGTATGAGTTATGAAGCAGTTTACTATGTTGACAGATCCTGTATATTGCGGTCAATTTAGTAAATACAAGGACATGTTGGATAAATCAGGAGAATGGATGTATACTAGCGAAGGAAAGATAGAATGGGTTAAAGTTTGCGAGAAAACAATGGATTTTCCGATAGAACCATTTTTAGATACCTATGCCATGGGAAAATGTACAGGACTAATTGCCTATTGGCGTAAAAAAGTTGCAGAAACTAAAATTCGACCGATTGTTAAAGTTTACGACCAAAATTCAAATTTAATTTCGACAATTTACGTAGATTACGAATGTTATAATATTGATTTACATGTGTTCATGAATGATAATGTCGGAGTTCTAGCAGACGATGGCACAGTTCTTATTTATTCCCATCAAAGTCAGATTAAAATGCAGAAACTCTTCAAATTCAGCTACGTATTAAGATGCGCTTTCCATGAAAATGGAGTTGTTGTATTTGCGAAAGATGGAAATATATACGAATGCGAAAATTTCGAAAAAACTCACGTTATTACACAACACGGTTTTACAGAGAGATTCAAACAACTTGAAATCGTTCCAGAACAATATTCATATACTAATGGCACGCTTTGCTTCGCTTTGGCTTATGAAGGCGAATTATATTTATATTCTTCCAAGGGAAGTTACAAGATTGACTTCGATAATCCGATCGAAACCTTTGCGATATCCACGAATTACAACTATATTTCCATTTTATTCCAAGACAAAACGATGATTGTTTATGATATCAAATTATCTCAAGAAATCTACAGAACGAATGTCGATTTCGACATCTTTGGAACATTTCTTTTCCTTAAATGGCTCGGAGAACTCGCTCCTGTCGCTGTATTTCAAGATGGACTTTTATTTTTGTCTTCTGATGGAACATCTCCATGTTATTCCTTCTCAGGAATGTGCTTAGCATACAGTGAACATGATAGTTTGTTCATCCAGACACAAACAGAGTCATATCGTTTAATTGAAGTACCAGAAAACGTTTCTAACGTTTTATCTACAATGGTTTCAAGTGATGGAGCCAAACTTTGCCAGATTTTTGATGAAAGAATGAAAAATCCTGTTTTATCAATGATGAATTCCGAAATTGACCGAGAAACAGCAAAAAACGAGTGTATTGATACAGCATTATTTCTTAATGACACGAAATCAAGGGTTTTCTTCTTAAATGCCGCAGAATTAACAGAAAATACCAAAAATTTAGAAAACAAAATTTTGAGAGCAAAAATTTTGTTAACTTTACAAAAAAATTGTTCAATGCCATTGACAAATTCACAGTTTGAACAACTGCCATTATCCTGTTTAAGTGAAAGATTATGTATAAGGCATCTACACATTGTTGCAGCGAAAATTTTTGAAAGATTAGATGAAAAAACAACGAATATCTCTGAAAGTTATTGTTGTTATGTTATTGACAACATTTTAGATGATGACAATTGTTTGGAAACTCTTATTAAAGATGATTTCGTATCTATTTCTTTTGCAGCATCTTATGCAATCAAAAAAGGAAGAATGAATTTGGCGAAAAACTTGACACAAAAGGAACAGAGTTATGAAAAGAAAAGTGTTTTATATTCATTGATAAATGATTGGAAAAACGCATTCGAGAATTGTGATTTGAGTTGCGATTCCAGTTCAATGATACAAGTTATTGCAAACGCAATAGGTTATCATGACAAGAATTTCGTGAATAATTGTATTGCAGAGAATGAAACAATTTGTTATTTTTGTATTAGAATGATATCAATAATTAGTTATCAAAGAATCAGAGCTATTTTAGAATTGAATTCTACAATGAATCAAAGTGAAAATTTGTTGAGATATTATATGTCTTTTTCACCTGATTTCGTCAACAAAAATGTTGAAAATCTTGCAAAAATAAAAGAATTACAAAAAGTTATTGGTGCTGATATTCATGATAATGATATTGTTGGTTTATCTTTCAATCAAACTATAAGGAAATTGGCGAAAAATTATTTGCCAGAAACTGCAATTTTATTTGCAAAAGAATCAAAGACGGAAAATAGGACATGGGAAAGAATATTTGTTGCAACATTAGTTGATGAAAAGATGTATGATAAAGTCAAGGAATTCGTTGTAACAAAAGATAGAAAATATCTTTGGGATTTAGTTGTGTTTTTGTATCTGAAAAATGGAGAGAAAAATGAAATTCATTACTTCATTTCGAAATGCGATAAAATGGACGCCAAAAGAGCTGCAAGACTGAAACAAATTGCGGAAGGAGAGAACTACGTGAAGACTATCAATGAAAATCCACCGGAATTTAGAGTATTTAAATCTAATTCTTGGTAATTTAAATTATTTCTTATTTTCTGTTTTTCTAAAATTGTAAAAAGTCTATGTTTATTGAATCATTATTTTATAAATACGACAGTTTTTAAGGTGCAATGTTACAAATATTTATATTTATATCGATTTGATCAAATAAAATTTATATTCAACATATATTTTGCACTTTTTGAGAGAAGCGAAAACAATTAAAAAATGTGTACATTGTTGCTTGTGAATTTTTAACTTATCGAGAAGCTTGAATAAAGTGTCTATAAACGGAATATAAATATTCAGTTCACCAATTAATTATAATATAGATTCTCACGGAATCTTTTGTAAATAAAGTAATGTGTACTTTTTACTCAGATTAATCATACTCATTTAAAACTGTATAGTTATTTACTTTCTGACAAAACAAAAATAAAACTTAAAATCGAGTTTAAATTAAAAATACATTTATTCTCTGAAAAGTTTTAAAAATGTGCTAAGTTTATATCAATATAAAAATAAATATCAATAAAATGTTAAAATTGGGAAAATATAGCTTATTGTATGTGCATACATAATCAAATGGAAAATAATTACCAAAAAAGAATAATCGTGAAATAGAAATGATATTATTATTAAGATTATCAGGCCTGGTTAAGTTGAACAAGAAATCAGTATAAGGTGCTGGATATAAACATGTGCAATTGATGATAAAATTAGAAGTATTTGTCGGATCTTTATAAAAAATTTGGTTTTGTCGTCTATCAATTAAAGTCCAATCAGTAGACTCAGTCTTACCAAATAAGTCCCATGATTTCATAAGACGATTATGCCTAACATAAATAGTATAAGATGTCAAATTAATATATGATTTTTTGAAGCTTATTGTGAGATTTGGTATATCTGGAACATCTTGCGTGATAAATCTTCCATAATAAGGTTCAGTAAAAATAACATCTGGTGATGTCCTCTCAAGAGCATAGAAATCTGCAATTGTGCTTGCACTCACTGAGATAATATTTGATCTAACAAGATTAGGTCGATGATAGTTTTCTCGCATATATTTGAATATATCGTTAAAATCTGTATAATTATTAGAATATATTGCAGTTGGATAAACAGGCATTAATAATTTATCTTACAAAACAATTTAATAAACTATGTTGTAGAATTAAATAGAATTTGTTGTAAATTTGAAAAATAAAATAAACACATATAAATTAAATTGTGTTTTAGTATTTGAAGAATATTCATAAATATTTCACACTAGTAATCACTGCTTTGAATTTAAAATTGTTCACATTGAGAAGTTGGTAAATATTGGCAGAGATCAATATCATCGATCAAAAAGTGACTAATTTATTTTGAATAAATTTGATCATAATTAAATTTTCTAAAATTACCAATTATTTGAAAGATATCACTTGCATAAATGAATTCATGATAAGAAAGTTTTCACGATCTAAAGGATTTATCTGTCATAAAACGACTTAATGGGAGAAATAAATTCAAATTATGAACTATTAAAGCAATTAATTATAAAAAAAAATCGGAAATGAATTATCAAAACAATTCAAATGAAAAAAATATTATTACATATTTTACATTAAAATAAAAACAGAAATGGATGAAAGAGGAACTTTGTTTGTAAGATAAAGGTTAGCTTTGCATGAGAAACCACTGCAGAATGATGTTGAACCAATAGAAAGACCACTGTTCCGAAGAATATCAACGAATGTTTTGTTCTTGTCGTTCTGGATAAGAACACCACAAACAAGAAGAGGGCAGTCTTTGAACGCATCTGTGTCAACAGAGGTGACACTGGATGGAATAGTGATTTGGCGAAGATTAGAACATCCTTGGAATGAGCTTCGACCAATATGAATCAGACTGAATTCTGGAAGAAGAACACTACGAAGATTGATGCAGCCCATGAATGCACTGTCTTCAACACTCGTGACACCTTCAAGAAGATAGAAGTATGATCGTTTAGATGCAGGTGGATAGATATGCATGCGGCGTTTGTCACTGCTGTAGATTGCACCACTCTCGCTGACAAAGTTTGTCGATGAGAATGATGAAACAGATGAGAAGCTAGTGCATCCTTCAAAACAGCCATAGCCAATACGAGAAAGAGAACGGCCGTTGTTGATTGTGATCGAACGGGGAGAAATGCAGTCTTTGAAGCATTGATCACCAAGACGAGTCACACTGTCCGGGATGATGACACTGGTGATAGATGTTCCACTCAAAGATGATGTTTCAATAGTGATAGTGTTATGTGGGATTTCAATACTTGAAAGACTTTTGCACCCACAGAATATGAATGATGGAAGAGTAGAATTACAAATAGTATTAAATTTAAATGAGACACGTGTCAAGCCACTGTTCATGAAACAGCCTGAGCCAATAGAAACAATATTAGATCCAAAATCAAATGATGTTAAACTTGTTAAGTCTTTGAAGCAGTTATTACCAAGAGAAATATGAGTATCACCATATATTGTGATTTGTGTGATAGAACTGCATCCTTCGAATGCATTGTCGCCAATATCAAGAGATGATGCAGAATACAATCTTACTCGTGATGAAACTGTTGTTGTAAATAATATTGATGGAATCTTCGTGCAATTTTGAAAACATCCTCCACCGATTATTGTCAATGTTTCTGGAAATGAAATTTGTGAATTAAGATTTGTGTTTTGGAATGCACGACTTTGAATTTATTTGATCTTATCTCCAAATTCAAATTTGTATAAGTTTATGCAGTTAATAAATGCATCTCTTTCAATGTATTCGAGATTACATTCTCCATCAAATGTGATACTTTTGAGAAATGTTTTGCCATTGAATGCATTTTGTTTGATTCGAATAACTGTGTTTTTAAGAACAATATCTGTCTGTTTTCCTAAAAATTGTGATATTGATTTGTTTTGATCTGCATAAAAAACATATTGTTTGTCTAAGTAAATGTTTGTACTATTTGAAAATGAAATAATAACATCATCATAACTTGGTAACGCATTTCCTCCTAAATATTTCAACGAACTTGGTAAAGTTATATTTTTAAGATTAATACACCCATCAAATGCATTATCGCCTATATAGGAAACAGAATCAGGAATGTGTATATATTTAATAGAAGCGCCTTTAAATGATGCACCTGTAATTGATGTTACACCATTAGGTATAGAAATATTCGTAAATAGAGACTGGCAAAATGCATATTGTTCAATAATAGTAACACTTTCAGGTATTATGATTGATTTTAAGCGTGAGAAACAAAAACAACCATTTCCAATTGTTGTAACTGTTGGTATAATTGTGTAGTTTTCACCACAATTTTGCGCACAAAACTATATTTTAGTTAAATTTTTGTTATACAATGCTTTTCCATCACTAAATAAATATGGATTATCTGGATCTACAATAATAGTTTCAAGTGTATACGACCATGAAAATGCCATACCATCAAAAAAATCAACATTCTCAGGAACTGTAAATGTTTTCATATTTGTGTAGAAAAAATTATTTCCAGTTATTGATTTAAGCTGCGAACCTTTTGTGAATGTAACTGTTCTCAAATATGGAGTTCTTCCCAATCCAAAGTTAATAATTGTGGTAACTGTAGATGGGATATTTATTGAAGATATTTTAGTCTGTGAAATCATAAATGATCCAATGGTTGTTAATCCTTCGGGAAGAATAATGGTTTCGAGTGAAGAACAATCTTGGAATGCAGAGTCTCCAATTGTCTTAAGTTTTGTGCATGGAGAGAGATTTACTGATCGAAGTTGTATGCAATTGTAAAATGAAAATTTGTTGATATTGGCAAGGTTTGGATTATCTTCAAATGAAAATGATTCAAGAATGTCATTGACGTGATTGAATGCATAATCACTACTAGATTCACCAAAAATGGTTTCACACTTTGATGATATAATGACATTTGTATATCTTTTTGAGACAGAAAACAGTGTGAGACCATCTGTACTATAATCATTATCATCTAACTTACTCATAATCTATTTCTAGAATAACATTCTGATGTGATGATGTATTATATATATTTCTGGGGCATTATTCATAAAAATTAATCTTTTATTTTAACTCGGGATTCTTTTGATTAAAATGTCACTTTTGTTGACGCCAAAATCAATAATTCAACAACTCTAGTAAACCCCGACCCTCCTCTTAATCATGAAACAAATATTATGCTGTTTAGATCATTTTAAAATGTGATGAAGGTAGATTCTCCACCTGTGCACGATTTAAGGTGATCTCTTTCATGTAAATTTGATTCACCAAAAAATATAGTATTGATTACAGATGTACCACATTGGCCAAAATATATATTTAATTTTGTAATAACATTGAGTTTGATTTAGAATACCTTCGGTATGGGCATCTCGACAAAGTGTTGAATTATGAATGTAGCCTCATTGAGCACCACTAACACGAAGTCCCTAACGTTCTGGGTCTAGTGTTGTGCTTTGAACACTTTCTATTTAATCAAATACTCTTCTTAAATTGAGAGATTAATCCGGATTAAATTTGAGTAGTTTAACATATTAAATGTAAGAGTGACAAATGATCCTATTTCAGAGTATGATTATCAAAGTCAAATATAGTGTAATTTTTAGTGTTTGTTTTTGCGCAAAGTAATATATCTGTCCATTCTTTTATCTTGAAGGCATGTTGAAATTTTTAGTACAGATGATAATTAAGGTTCCTGTCCTCCTTTCTCAATTTTAAAATTTCGATATATCCATCAATAAGAGTTTTCATAATTTATAATTAATAAGTATTGTAATATAAGCGCATATATAATATATTAAGTAAGATTAATGTACGATATTTTAAAACTCATAGAATTATTTGATAAATTGAAGTGTCTCTGGAAAATATATATCTGCTAATATGGCATTACTTCAACAGAGATAATTATCAAATTAACAAATTTATGCGTATGGTAATTTTCTTACCTATGCTCCGAGCAAGCGTAATGAATTTGGCTTCTCTATAACATATTTGATGAGTTTCATATTTTTAAAGTATTGAAATTAGTCCAGCATATCACAAAAATAATAAACGAGCATTTTTTGTTCAGAAAATTGAAATTGCGTTGTTTATAAGAATTGATGCACAAACTAACTGTAATATGGTATATTAAAAATAATTAAAACGTATTGATTTTGAGTTTAAAACCAAACAATCCATGAAGCATACTGTTATAAATTTATGAAAAAGACATGATTAACAAAATTAGCTGTTTATATTTATTCAATATTAATTTTGTTTGTTTTGAATTATCAATATAAGTAAATCATATTGCTTTTCATTCACGTTTTTTCTCTCAAAAAATTGAATTGCTATTCAACTGCTATTTTGAGATGACTATAAATAAGCCCGTAAAAAGTGTCTCAACCATTATTTTATGATTATATTTTCTATATTCGAATTGACAAATAAGAAATGACTGATATTCCTGCTACTTCATATATTGATGGTGGAAGAACTCTTTTCACTGTATCTATTAATGATCCTCAAGTTGTTATTTCATCAACCTGTGAAGTTTTATATGGAACAGATGAAAACAACTATTGTTTCAAACTTGTTCGAAATACACTTCAACAATTTTCATTTCATGAAAATCCAAATCTCAACAAAATAAGTGATTATTCATTTTATCTTTGTAAAAATTTGATAAAAGCTGATTTATCCAATTGTAATAAATTAACATACATCGGAAAATATGCCTTTGGCTCATGTACTTCTCTTTCATCGGTCAATCTACCAGAAGGACTCCAAAAAGTAATGAGTTATGCTTTTTATAATACAAAACTTTCTTCAGTTAATATTCCATCAACAGTTAATTTCATTGATGAATATGGTTTTTGTTACACGAGTTAGTTAGTATACAAGTCTTGGGTATGGTGGCACTGCGTTCCACCTTACCCAATACTTGTGAATTTGACACTTTACAAAACCGTTAACGTATATTTTACAACATGAACGCAAAAACTAACTTAACCTTAAATATTTACAAAGCCGCCAACAATTTCACCTCACTATCGTTCTCACTAACAACTTCACTAATGTTCTCATAAATTTTCCTCAATATCTTCATCATCAGTGTTAACCCTATTGTAGTCATACTTGAAGCCATAAACTTTCTCTAACTTCTTAACGTACAATTTACATAACTTACCTTCGTCATCGTATGGTTTAATGATATAACTATTTCTATCTTTATAAACAGTCAATGAAAAGTCAACTGGTCTCGGATGTATTTGAAAGAACATGTTATGCTCAGGAAGGAAGAATAAATGTTTAAATGTATGTTTGTTATATGTTTTGATTTGTATGAGTTGCTTTTGTTCTGTCATTACATCCAAATAAAATAAAAATAATTTTAAAAAATAAACTTAAAAATAAATGATATCACCACCCTCACACGTATGAAAACATAGCACAAAAATAAATTTAGGTGAAGTGGTGAGATCTAACCCGATTTCTAACCCGATTTCTAACCTCATTTCTACCCTGTTGAATTCATTGCTTTATAACTCTCTTCCTTGGTTTCTTTTTAGTTGCTTTCTTCACGTCTGTCTCCAACTTGACTGTCTTTCTTCTTCGTCCGTAATGATACCAGTTACTTCCACCAGTCAATGGGTCAAATGGTCTTTCGTAAGGGTTTCCATACATTCCATAGGGACCATACGGAAGAACTACTGGTGGAGAAGAAACATTTTCTTTAGTTCCATCGAATCTATTTAAATGCATTGTTTCACCTTTCATCTGGTCATTAAAGTCTTTTGCGTGTTTTGCAAACTCATCGTCCTTTCCTAAAGCATTTTCTGACTCAGTCGCAACCAAATTGGATGCTTTATTTATGAGCCCCATTTTATTTAATCTTAACTTCTTTGCAACCCAGCCTCCAATCTTTCCTTTATTTGCATCTAATGTCTTTGAAACCCTTCCTCCACTCATTTTATTTACTGCGTCATATGCTCCAAGTGCTTTTGCTCCAAATGCTAATGCTTTTGTTCCCATTGCGCCTAAAGCTGCCCAAGCTACCATTTACCCCATATTAAAATCATCTCTCTTCAATATTATCTCATAAAAGTTCTCGTTACTGGAGAAAGTCAATGAAACATAAACATTCTCACGGGCTTCACCCTCACCGCTTTGCGGTCTATCTAACTTCTTTCTTATATCATCTATTCGCTTCAAAATGTCTGAACAATTGCTAACATCTTCTACAACAGTTATTTCATCATGAACGACCTTTAAGAACAAGCTCATTTAATATGCAATTAAAATCATCTCAATAATGAGTCCATCCTTTCCATCTTTAGGTAGCACAACATCTTTCATTGAAGAAGGTTCGACAAGTCTTATGTTAAACTTACTGACAAAGTTTGTTATACTATAATGCTTCGGCGGTGAATACATATAGTTTGAAAGACATAATATAGATTCTTCAGCAAATTCACTTATACTGGATTTTATAACAATGTTCTCACGAGACCAAACGCCACCAATTGACAATCTTGTAAGCAATCCTGCTGAGCCTTCAACTGTAAACGTCGATGGTAACATTCCACGAAGGTCATCTATTGACATCGTTGAGTCACTGTATTTAAATATTTTCTTAAAGCAATCGTCATTATCTAACCATGCAATAGCTTTGAAGTTTTCATTCGAATATACATCTGCATCATTAAATGTAAAACCTGACTTCTTTGCAGAGACGACTTTAAAATCTATTGAGTTTGTTTCAAAATTATATGCTATGGTAACTTCTGAAGGTAATGGATGTCCTTCCGCAGTCAGTTGTTCTCTCACTACCGTTTGAAGCTTTGTATTAAAAACTTTCATGTCATCTCCTGTATCTAAGTTCACATACATAGCAACAGGAAAACTATCTTGCTTCTTTGTTTCATCATTATATCTCAAAACATTAAAGTTCTTCAATAATATTGTCCTTCCTGCTGGAATACTTCTAACTTGTCTTATTTCAATAGCTTTCTCACCTCCTACATACTCTACCCAGTGTCTTGGATATTCATAAGTATACTGACTTTCTTGAATTTTGGTTGGTTTCATCATAACGTGTTCATAGTATATCTTTATACTCTTGTCAGTTAGACTCGGTGCTATGTTCTGAATATTTCTGACTTGCATTTTTAATGGAGATAAAATGAAGCATTTAATACATGACGTAGATGAAGACATGAATGAAACTACAGACAAACTTAACTCTTCTCTTATTCTTCCTTTCAGCAAAGATTATGAATTCTGTTCAAATGGTGTGTATTTCTATTGTGGAAAGATGGGTTCAGGTAAGACATTTAACCTCATTCGTCATATACTCATAACAGAGCGTTTAGGAAACGACTCTTACTATGACCAAATCATTATATCAGCAACTTCAGACTCTATGGATTCAACAGCGAAAACATTCATGAGTAAAGTTCAAGCATCTGTCGTTAAAGTTCCAGATAGCGAACTCATTGAATTTCTTCAACGTTACATTCGACGTAAGAGAAAATATTATGCTATTGTAGAGTTCATACAGTCAGGAATGCAAAAGACTTCAGAAGAGATGGAAAGAATTATTGACAAACACCACTTACGTCAGTACTCAGGAGTTTACGATATGAAACGACTGACAAACTACATTCTATCAAAACTTTCAAAATACCCCTTCAAAAAGTATCCTTCAAACACTCTGCTCGTTTGTGACGACTTCGCCGGAAAAGGTTTAGTGTCAAAGCCTGACTCACCATTAGCTAACATCATAATTAAAGTCAGACATTACCATTTAACTGTAGCAATACTTATGCAAACATGGCGTTTCCTTGCTTTAAACATAAAACGTCTCATAACTGACTTCGTTATCTTTCAAGGTTTCTCACGCTATGACATTGAACTCATTTGGAAACAGTCAGGTATAACATTACCTTTTGAAGAAATTTGGGAAGCATATAAGTCTCTCATCTCTCCTCGTTCATAC